TGTGAGGTGTTGCTGTGCAGCCTGTAGAAGAGCCAAACCACTTTCCCTCCCGCTGACTTTTGCCCTGCATGGGGTAAGGAGCCTCTTTTCCCCCCACAGCCTTTTGGTTTGTTTTTCCTCCACTGTCCGTTATTTGCACTACTGGAAGGGTTTTGTTTGCAGCCTCCATCCCTCCTCCCCTCCCAAGGAACAGAAGCTGTTCTTTACCTGACTGCAGGAACAGCTGAGCTGCTCAGTCGGCACCTGAACTACTGCTGGCTAAAGTCTCCTACGGGAGTAGGAAAAGGAACAGTCTTAACATGGGACGCTAATGATCAGCTTTTTAAGTTATGCACTTTGTTAAAAAAGAAAAAAGTTAAATACATTTTAAATGTTATTTAATGTCTTTTCCAGTAAAAGCCAAAATAAATAAGTAGATGACTGTGGTATGTGCATGTCTGGGGGGAGGAGGGGCTGGAGAATTCACCTGTGCAGTTTTAGGGGAAAGTAGAGCTATTTCTGTATTTCTATTGAAGCTGCAGGGTCAGAGGGCCCAAACTGCAGCTGATGGGGTGGTGTTTCATTACTGACTCACCTGCCTCACTCCGCTACAGCCTCACCTGTGCTGTCTGCACATACAGACACTTGGATCGAACCACACCTTGTCTATGAGGTGACAAACAGCTGCTCACACAGTCCTGCCAGGCAGCTGGCTCTGGATCTTGGTAGCACTGCCCTGCCTTGTCTGAGACAAACCATGTGCAGGGAAACAAGCACCTGGGCAGGGGTGCTCTCAGGTGCAGGGATGCTCTCAGACACCCCTTCATTTTCTGCTGTCATCTCCTTACAACTACACTAAAGCTGCAAGGAAAGAGGTACAAAATGAGCACCCACCAGCAACCCCTGCAGACACCAGAGGAAATGGCTTACACAGCGACAACCCAGGCCTTGAAGTAAAGTTTTAGTACCACAGCTCATTAAAAAAATTAAACTCCTTTATTTGGCAAATTAGAAAAAACTACTCAAGGCTGGCAGGTCCTGCACTTCATTTCCCAGGACAAGGGCTGGGACAGCTCAGCTGGATTGCAGGGAGGTGACCAATGGTGATTCCTGGACTGGACACAAGGACTCCCACCAGACTGGGCACACTGGACTGTCAGATTTTCCCAGTTCTTGCTTCAGGACCTTCATACCTGGACTGTCACCCTGCAAGGTGGCACCTCAAGTGCTCCCCTCACTTCACAGCAGGCCCGAAGTGGAGGACACCAATAAAATTCCATTAGAGGAAGCAACACAAGCCCCTGGGCAGGAAACTCACCAGCACTGCAGGGAACACCTGCCTGGGGGCTCTTCCTCATCGGAACCACTCCTGACCAGCCTCCCCAAAGCCTTGCCCTGCCCTGGCATCCAGGGATCAGCAGGACAGAGCCCATCACTGTATGTCCAGGTGGAAGCCGGGAGCTGGAGGCTTCTCCTCGTGCACCGGCAGCGGTTTGGGCTTGGACAGAGATGGTTTGTGGCACATGGAGTCTGTCAGGGGAGGGTAGTACTGCCTGTAGCACAGGTATGCAAGCACCAAGCCCATCACGGAGCCAACCAACACATCTGTGGGCAAGACCAGAGGAGAGTTAATGACCCTTCACCCTCCCAAAGCTTCCCTGCTGATTTAATTCTCCAGCACCAGCTTTTCAGCTGGATCTGCGGCCTGACCCTCGGCTGCAAAACCAAAAACACAGAGAAAGGCATCAGCACCCTGCAGGAGGCACCGGAATTACGACCAGAGGAGTAAGCAAGCCCCCAGGTTGCTGATGTGGGCTCTGAACAGCTCTGTGGCACCCCAGCCCCACCTGCTGAGCCCTGTCTGGGTGTGCAGGCAGACACTGACCCACCTTGCCAGTGGTGTTTGTAGTCACAGGTGCGGGACACGGCGATGAGGGTGGCGAGGAAGAGCGGCAGGAGGAAGGCACAGAGGCGCAGGGCCCGGCCCCCCCGGCCTGGAGTGAAGCTGTGCAGCTTCCCCGCGAGGTAGAAGGCAGAGAAGGCGAGACCAGCGAAGGCGACTGGAAGAGAACGGAACAGCATCGGCTCAGAACAGCTCAGAGAGCCCTCAGTCAGACCCTCACCCCGTGGTGGAAGGGCTGCAAGGGGAGTCTCTCCTGCCCCTGTGAGCCAAGGGAAGCACTGGCTTGGGAGTGATGATGGATCACAGAAGCTGGCACCCGGGGTTACAGACTGCTTCTGACCACAGCTCTCAGCCCACTGCTTTGCAGAGGGAAACCTCAGGCCCCTGACGAGGCCAGTGAACGCAGCCAAAGCGAACCCAGGCTGCCCTCCCCGCAGCTTCTGCTCTCCACAGCTCTCTGCCCAGGGCTGCAGCAGGAAGGGGACGTGGGGCACTCACAGGAAGCGTGCCCACTGGGGAAGCTCTTGCGGCCCTCGGTCACTCTGCGGGAGTCGCCCGTGCACACCAGCTCCGCGTTGGCCCGGCCGTCCGGGAAGCAGCGGTAGAAGAAGTCGGGCCGTGGCCTGGGGCAGGGACGTGAAGCACAGAGCACAAAACACACAGCCATTGGCGTGTGAGCACCCACATCCACTCCCCGTGCCAATGCAACCCTGAGCGAGCCCCTCTGAGCGATGGCTGCAGGTCCCCACCAGTGTTTGCTCTGATACTGAATTGCCTTTACAGCTAGAGAAACCCACATCCTTTCCAGCACGTCACACTGAGCTCCTAGCCCTGCTCTGCCCCAGCACAGACCTGCCCCCCTGCCCTCCCCGTGCGGCACTGCTGGGAACCAGCCGGTCTCTCACCTCCCCACGACGAGCTTCAGGGCGTTTGTAAAAAGCCCATTCAGGGCGAGAGCAAGGCTGGCAGCTGGGAGAGAGCAGAGGGGTCACGTCAGCATCATCCCCACCTGGAAGTGCAGCTTCGAGGCACATTCAGGCACGGGCAGGGCTCAAACTGCCGCCCCCTGGGACGAGGAGGAGCTCACCAAGGCAGGCTTCTTGCGTGTCCTCACGGTCGGCGCTCATGAACAGCCTGGCCAGCACGATGAGCAGCAAGGGAGACAGAAATGCAATGAACTGCACGAAACAAGAAGATTTTTAGGTGCCAGTGAAGCAGGCTTAAGCTCTCACAGAACACCATGGCAGTTGCTCAGGAAGGCTTCCCCTCCCCAAAGTTGAGCAGCAACTGCCCTCTCCAACGTGCACTTCCATCAGAAGCACAGACCCATCCCAGCTGGGTTTGCAGCAGGCCCAGATCAGCCCAGCACGCCCACGGGCGCTCAGACAGCTCCTCTGGCCAGGGAGTGCTGCTCTGGCTGGTTACTGGGGGTGTCCCCAGGCACAGCACCTCAGCTCTTCCCTCCCTGCAAGCCCCAGTATTAGCGCCCTGTCAGCAGCACTGTCAGCAAAACCACGGGAGCTGCTGATTCAGTTATCATCATTCCCATCTCAGCCGCGACTGCACTGGGGGATTTCACCCCGGGACATCCACGGCAAGGCTGCCAGGCTCCCAAGGAGCCTGCTCCCACCTGAATTCTGGCACCTGTTCTGCTTTACACCACCAGCTCCAAATGCTACCCTGAGGTTTTGTCCTTAATGTTCAGTGCCCACCTCTTGCAGAAAATCCCAAGTGCCATTTGCCAGGAAAGCAGGAGCTTGCCCAACTCAGGAGCCACGGCCCCTGACCTCACACCTGCTCCAGAGGGAGCCAACCCCACTGACAATGCTGTCTCCTGGAAGTCCTACATAAGGTTATGTCAAACCCTCTTCACAGAGCCTGGAGCCCTCAGGAAAACATCTCACAATAAAATGATAATAAACTCTGCTAAAAATAGCTGCTAGCAAGGAAAATGTTCCCTGATAGAGAGAGCTATGCTATCTTTGTGCTCCTGGTAATTTGGACGTGGAACAAGATTATGACCAACAGTGCAAAGTCCACAGTAGTTTATAAACTTCAAATCCCAAAGACAAGCCTGGATGGTAAATCCTGAAAATATGACAAAAGTTACTGTAAGTCTTATCTAGTTTGTACTGATCTCACGAGATGGGCTGGAAGGTGCCACTGGGGGCCATCCAGTCCAACCCCTCTGCTCAGGGTCCTCGGAGAATGTCACTCAGGATTGTGTCCAGATGGATTCTGAGTGCCTCCAGGGAAGGAGACTCCCCCTTCTCTGAGAAGCCTGCGCCAGTCACCCACACAGGAAAGTCTTTTCTTGTGTTCAGGTGGAAATTCCTGTGTTTCAGTTTTTGCCTCGTCCTCCACAGAGCAGAGCCGGGCTCCATCCTCCCAACCCCTCCCTTGAGCTATTTATCCACATGGATACAATATCCTGCCCTTTCAGCAACCTGCATTAGGAGCTCCAGGTACTGCAGTACAAGCCTTTAGCCAGCAGCTTTGCTTTAAGAGGAGAGCTTATCATCAGAGAAAAAAAAAAATCAAAGTAAATGCAAGAAACACTGGCACGGGCTGCCCAGAGAAGCTGTGGATGCCCCATCCCTGGAATTGTTCACAGGTTGGGTGGGGCTTGGAGAACCCTCCTCTGGTGGAAGGGAGGCATCCCCCGCGGTGGGAGGGGACACGACAAGATGATATTTACGGTCCCTTCCCACCCCAAGCACCCCATAAACTTACAAACATGAGGGCGGTGGGGACGTGGTCCACCTCAACGTAGGGGTTTTTATAGAGCCACATCTCCTCGGGCTGCACCACGCGCTGGAACGGCGGCAGGAACTCCATGATCCTGGAACGAGACACAAGGAAGATGAGCGCTGGGGCGGGCCCGGGGGGGGCCGGGGCGGGGGTCCCGCACTCACCCGAAGCTGGCGAGCAGCAGGGCCCGCAGCGCGGTCTCGGCCGCCAGCTCCGCTCGCCGCATGGCCACTGCCCGCCCCACGAGCCACCGCCCCCGGGGCGGAGCGAGCGCAGCCTCCGCTCCCTTCCCGGAGGAGGAACCCCGGAGCCGGGAGTCCCGTTATCCACCCCCCCAAACCCAACGCCGCCAGACGGAACTGAGTCATCTCATCATTGGAACATTCAGAACGATTTATTGAAGTCAACCTCAAGCAAAAATTTCAGATCAGTGGAATGTCATTAAAAACCTTTCCAAAGGAATCCTCACGGAAAAGCAAAAAAAAAAAAAAAACCCAAACAAAAAAACCAAACAACCCCCAAACAAACAAAGAAACAAACAAACAAAAAAACAACCAAAAAACCCCACATCTGAATTCCAGAGTATTTGTAAAATAAAATTAAAAAAAAAAAGGCAACATTTCAGTAAATAGAATGTACAAAAATTATATGTTCTACCATCACACACAGTCAGTAAGAAGCTAAAATATTACAGGCAAGTCTCGATACGCTCTACCTAGAGGACAGGAGCTATCTATGTACAGGGAACCAGCTTTACAGGCTTCACACTATGCAAGAGGACAGAGGCCAACACAAACCCCCCAAAATATCGGATATCTCAAAGTCTATGCAGCAACATCAAGTCATGATACAGTAATGCCCCGTGGAATCGGACACTCCTCCTTAGTGTCAGGGCTGCGTCAGCATCCAAAAACTCCTCCATACCGACTTGGGTGAATATCAATGCTTTGCTAGTAAAGACTCGAGTGATTTCGTTAAAATAACATTTCACAGAATCTACAAAGTTTGTTACAGATAAACAAAGTCTACAGAAATAACAACTCTACAAAGGTCCATCTTACAGAGCACGTGGGGATGGAGGTTGATCCACAGGGATCTGTGTTGTGCAACATCACTCGCGTGGAGACAAACGGGTTGGGGTCCTCACGGCACCCCAAATGCAAATCCCCCCGACCCCCCGGCTCAAACGGGACATGATCACCCCAGGGGCTGTGGCAACACCATTGGCTCGTTGGAAAAGTGACACAGACAGAGATACAGCTCCACCTGGGAACAGGGAATGTGGGGGTTCATCCAGTCTCTTTATGACCCAACACGAGTGAGAACTGCTCGGTGGGGGGCTCCGAGGGACCTCCACTCAGTTGGGATCTCCAGAGGGGACCCCAGGCAGCCGCCCGGCCCCCAGAGCTGGCGGTGGCATGGGGAGGGCACAGCCCCGGGGAACAGGGAGTGGTGAATGGCTTTGGCAAATTAGTACGTGTTTTCCCTTTTTGATTCACATTAATCACAGAAATCCCCTACACTAAGCACAGTGCCAGCTCCCCACCTTCCGCTCCAGAATGACGAGACCCCTTCCAGGGGAGCACGGAGCTGAGCTGCTCACTCAGGAACACAGCATCGTGGGGAACAGCTTTGCTTTTCTTCTTTTTCCCTCAGAACAACACCGGGAACACATCCAGCGTGTAGGAGTGTATTGTAAGTGCAAATGTTTTTGCTACACAAAGAGAAACGGTGGGGAAAGCTGATGGGAACGGGAAGCAAAGGGACAGCATCGCTCCAAGGTCGCCGTCTCCCACGCAAGGCCCGGTGAGCACACACCTCCGAGACAGCTTCCAAACCCTCCCGTTTGCCACGGATCCACTGTACAGCGGGAGCAGGAAGGAACTTGGGGGAAGCCAAGGACATTTTCAATGCAGTTATACAAAAAATTATGTATAAAAAAAAAAAAAAAAAAAAGCTGTAAAAGGAACCGCAGAGCTTCAAGTACATTAAACCCTGAATTCATGAGGCAGAGGTTTCCATGTTAAAGTGACTTCTCCGTACCAGCGTCAGACACCCCCATCCCACCCTCCCCCCCTCCCCGCCCACATAATTCTGTAAAGTTTCAATATATACAGATTTTATGCTCATTGATAATCATGTTTTAGTAGTTGTGTCTTTCCCATTCTATCCTGAAATTAAGATGCAAGAAGTTGGGGCTTTTTTATAAGAAAGGCCAAAAATCCACATTCCAGCCCTATTACTCCATTTGAACAGATTCTCCAAGACCATGTGGTGACCAGAGAAGGTGATTTGCCCACAAAATTGCCTTCCTGAGCCGCAAATGCCTTCAACAGTCTACAGACAGGACAAGTCTATACAATAATCCGACAGCTACAACAGCTAAAGCTTGCACTGTGTGTTCAGGAGTGATGAACCAGCCTCTGCACCACTGGAATCACAAAATCATGGAATTCCACCTTCTAGACTCATCTGGCCAAGGGCTGCAGGGCATCTGTGCTGTGCTCAGGAGCAGTTGCAGAGGAAAAGCTCCAGGAAAGCACAAACCCCGTTACCTGGGCAGAGCAGCTCAGGCACTGCCCAGGTGCCACAGCTGGAGGCAGGGGGTCACCAGAAGTGTGGGGCCCACCCCAAAAATTCAACACAAAACTATGGGAAAAGTGTGCCAGTGTGTTCCCATGAAGGAACAACCGACAGGCTGGAACAGCACATTGCAGCTCTCCACCAAAATGACCAGTTCTGTGGATTTCCTCCAGGCCTCAGCATGAAATGACCAAACTATCCAAGGTTCCTTATTCTGGAGCCCACACAAATTAATTCAGCAGCTGCCTCCCCCTCTGCTGAAGCCAATTCATCAGAATAGCTGTGTAATCTTCTCCTTACAAAGGAATTACACTAAGGAATAGCGCTCTGGTTACTAAGTCTGCAAAGACGTGGTTAAAATACGCATTTTAACATCTGAGTCTGGCACTCAGAACAGCCTCTCCAGTCACCAAGATACTTTGAATTGGCATTTTCTCATCTCCCAACGTTAAAGCCTTTTGAAAGATTCACCTTCTCTTCAATTCAGTGTTTTGTTCACAAACTGCACGGCCTCACAAACCATCTCCTGTTTTCCCTTCTGAGTCCAAGCCCAGCTGTTGGCTGTTATTAATATTTTTTTTTTGGTGGAAACAATATATCATATATATATATTACATATATTTTAGATATAATATATATAAAATGTATCAGCTGATACCTGCAACATCAGAATGCTCTGACTTCCCAGGAGAAAACCACTGAACTTTATCAAGCCTAATAAATCATAGAAAGTGAACCCCTCGAGCCCCACAAACGCTGCAGCAAGAGCCGTGTTTGGAATTTCTGAGAAGGTTAAACATCCTCAGCAGGGAGCTTAAAAAGAGACATTTCTCACACAAAATGCTCAGAAAAATAAAATCCTGTTTTTGTAAAAAACACCCAAATCCAGCACTGCTCTCCAGGCTTAGTGCCAGACCCTCACCAGAGCACAGCCCACAGCATGAAGTGCTTTAGGGGTCCCAAGAGCCGCTGTCCCAGGACTGTCCCAGACACCCACAGGTTCTGCTTCCCAAGGGAGGGTGTGGGCAGGTGCTCAGAGCTGAGTCCATGGCACAGCAGCTGCTCAGGGACTGTAGTGTATCCTGTCATTCTACAATTGCACACACACACACAAAAAAAACCAAAACAACAAAACAACTTTCCCCCTGTACATAAATTTGAGGATGAGAAGGACACTGGGCAGAGGCAAGATGTGTTCCAAATCCCACATGGGCTTTTTCAGCCTATTCCCTCCACGGAGAATCTGAGAATTCTCCATGTTCCCGTCGGTTTGTGTAAGCAGTTTTCCAGAGATAAGGTTCTTAATTCCAAGGCTGAATTCAGCCAGATGCCAGCAACACTTGATTATTTTCAATACTCATAAGCAAAGGCTGGCAGGGAACAGGTATTATCAGTACACAGGTCAGAAGTACTCGCTGTACCGGGGCAGGGGGGACACACAGTGCGTGGTGAGATCATGGGCTGGGGGAAAAAGGTCACCAAAACCAACTCTAGCCTGGGGACACCAGTGCCCCATGGCTCCTTGCACAAACAAATGGAGGAAAATAGGTTTTCTAAAGAAAATCTGGAGCAGGAGCCGACCTAAGCCACTTCCAAAGCCTCGCTGAAGGAGTCTGTCTCTCTGATTAACGGAGGAAATCCAACAGAGAACCATCTCCTGAGGCTCCAGCTGGCTGCTGGGATACGGCCCATTCCCCAGACACAAAATACCCTGTTCATCAAGGAAGTGCTGAGATGTTCCTCAGCTCCACTAACGACGAAGATTAAAGTTAGAAGATCTCTCTCAGCAAAAGAAAAAACCCAAACCTAACCATTCAATCAAAACCAACACGCACATGGGTCGGGTCCCTTATGTGCCCAAGTGTTCCCTGAAGCCACGGGGAGCCTGAGAAGGCAGCACTGAAGAATCACACTCAGTACCTGCCACCAAACCAGTGCAGATGTGGCAGATGACAAATGCACCAGCAGGACTGACTTCAGCTCTGAGACTGGGAGCCTCTCCTGCCTGGGAAAGGATGCCACATTGGCAGGATAAAGAAACGACCACCGTGCAACTGAACTCTGAATTTTCACCTATTTGCAAACACCCATTACAGCTCTGGAGCAAGGAACCACCACTTCTTCCCTCCTTAAACACTGCCAGACCTCATGTTACGAGCACTTCCAAGAAGTCACACACCTGATTTCTCACAGGAAAAGTTTCACAATAATATTCATAAGTTAACACGAGAGACAACCTACCTTCTCCAATGCCTTTAACAATAAGTACTGGAACAGAGGCATTTCAGAGTCACCTGGTCTGACACCCACACCTGTCTGTTTGGCATCTCAGCGTTACAGAGGGGGGAGGCTTTGCTCTTTCCATAAACTAGACACAAAAGTTACATTGGCTTCGCTGTTTTGTTTTCAAAGACACGTTGACTGATCAAAGCCAGATCTTCAACACCCTTTCAAAATTAAATAAATAAATATGTTGCTATGTTTTGCTTTCTACACTCAAAGAACATTATTTTAAACAGAATATTCTTTTCACTGTCTAAAGGTCTACGGTTTTCTTCGAAGGCCAAGACGTTCCTGGTTTCCAACAGTAAGAGCTGCTGTAGCACATTCAAGGGTAAAAGAAAGACCAAACAATAAAAACCAAACACCACTGCCTGGTTCTGCTCGCTCAGGTCAATGGTCCCGTTCCAGCCCACACGCGACAGCTCCAAGGGCAGACTGAGCGTGGCATCGCAGCCTCCCCGAGTTCGTCGCCTGTTGCCCCTCTTCTCCCCTCCCGCGTTTGTCTTTAACCAAAATCACTCCTTCGCCTCTTCCACAGCATTCTGTGCTTCCAATTTGCACTTGATCTTGCTCCAGTACTCGGGTGCCACGGGAGATTTGGGGTCGTGTGCGGAGCAGCAGAGGCGGCCGTCCAGCGCCGACGGCACCAGGGCTCCCTTCTCGTGATCCTTACAGAAGGAATGGGGGCAGAACTCACAGAAGGAAACAGCAGGATTGCTACAGACGTCGCACTGATGCCACGGACATTCCCACTTTCCTGGGGATGGGAGCAGAGAGAGACAGGAAGCTGGAATTAGTGCATTTAGGGGACAACACTGGCCTTTAACCCTCACTCCATTTGGAATTGCTCAAATGAATGCAAAGAAGGTTTAGAAAAATCAGCTCTTAAGGTGGCTGGTGCTACTTCTCACTGACAGGAATCTATTTTGCACTGCAGTTTATTTTGCATTTTCAGGCCTCTCTTGGCCACACAACTGCTCTTACCAAAAGGTGGTTGAGTCAGGTTAAGGCATAGGAGGTGGTACGCTTTGGGACAGTCCTTCTTATCACACATGACCAGCTCTCCCCCATCTCCACACTGGAAACAGTTGTCTTCATGCATCTGCTTCTGTTCCATTTTTATTTTCCGTTTCTTCTGCTTTAACTTTGCATTCTTCACCTTCTCTTCATTTGCTGTTGCAAACGCTGTCTAACAAGGACAAAACCACAGCACACGGTCACTTACAAACCCCTGGCATTAAAATCTACTTTGGGTTATTATTTGCATGAATTCTGCTTAAATTAGATCCACTCAAAAAAGTCGTTAAGCTGTAAAAGCCAGAAGTGCCCATCCAGATGTTTCTGAATTAACAGTCTGGTAAATTAACAACTTCTCCCCAGACACAACAGCACTGTAGGGCACACTAAAATCCTTAGGGACTTTCAGGGGTGGAAAGTACTACATAGGCTGAAGAGTCAAATAAATCAAATCCCTCTCTTTGCCCTAGGAAATTCCTGGATTTGGCAGGAGAAGCTTCACCGTTCACCCACGTACCTTCGGACGCACTCCCAGGAAGCCGCTGCAGTTCTCTGCTCCGCAGTGACACTCGGTCCTGCCATTGCCCAGGCAATCCAGGTTGTAATTGAATGTTAACTCCATTCCTGCAATTCAAGGAAAACCAATTCACCCACACGGACACTGGGGAACAACAGGCCTGTGACAGTGATGTTTTGTTAGTATTTGTAAGACCCCTGTTAGAACTGGAACCTAAATATTGTCTCCACTCCAATGACTGACAAAGTTCCTAAACATGCCACTGGTATTAAGTAACTTTAAAGAAAAAGAACGTGATTCCAAGTGAGGAATTTGGCCATCGCAAGACAAATGCAAACATGCTCAATAGTGCCATCCTTTTACCTGCAGGAATGTCACAAAGAGCAAACAGTCCAACTCTAATGTCACCATTCACTGTCCACTTCTGTGTTTCACAGTTTGGGTTACAACTATGGTTCATAAAACGGGAGTAGTTCCCCTTTGGGCCAGCATCTATTATTCGGTCCTTCAAGGAAAAAAGACAAAGATGAGTTTAGTACTTACAAAGGAAAACAAGGTTTCCTGCTGACCAGCGACAGTTTGTATGGAACAATAAATCTCACCTTGGTCACAGTTAACATATAAAAATTGGTGACACTGTTCTCGTGGGCACGTTTGATGCGCAGCCGGCACTCCTCCTCGTCAATGAGCTCCCCAACATACTCGTTCACAAACTCACCCTGCGGAGGGGAGGAGAACAAAAATAAGAAACCCACGCATCCTACTCATGATGACAAAGGAGAGCAACACAGAGAAAAGTATTTCCTGTAAAAAAATAATCATCAAAAAGTGTTGCACTTTAATGGTCCCATAGGCACAATCGGAATATGTGCACCAAGTACTTCCTGTCCAAGCAATAAACTGCCTCAGAATAAAAGGCAGCACAGCCCAGCCCTGTTCCTGCACTCACTGACAAGACAGTCATCAGTTCTCTAAAATCCTTTCAACTTTCCTGTTTTCTTTTAAAATCCACATTTAAAAGCAGAACACACTGTGGGCTCGTAGGGCTAAGGAACTCAGAAGAGCTGGGATGTGACCGACACCCTGATACAAGGAGTCAACACCAAGCCCTGGGCATCACTCTGCAGCCAGGCTAAAAGGTTAAAACACTCACAGCAATGCACTCGCTGGAGGTGCAGAACGCAGTGTTTTCACCCAGACCCACGCTGAGGTGGCTGTGACAGCCTTTGTCCTGGGCCGCCGTACCTTTTTAATGCTCCTTTTGGTCCTGAGGCCCCAGCCGCGGCGCTCGGTTTTGATGATCTCGGCGTCGGGGTAGAGCCTCTTGGTGAAGCACTGGTTCTGGCAGCGCTCCCCCGCCGGGCACACCTGCGGGTGGCACTCGTACTGCAGCATCCTGTTCAGGCACTCCGACTCCAGCCCGCACGGGTTCTCGTCCGAGGGCTTGCAGTTACACCGGGGGATCTCCGACAGGTCGGCCACCTGGATCTGAACCTTCCCTATCACCTTGTTGGACTGGGCAACAAAGGAGGAGAACAGAGGATGAAGACAATGCACAAGGAACACAGAGTCAACAACTGACATGAGAAGGCAAGAAAATAATGATTTCATCCTGTGTTTTAATGGCACTGTAAGATAGAACAAAGTATTGGTGAAAAGAACAGCAAAATGATCTGTGAGAATTTCTTTAGGCTTCAATTGTTGCAAGCACTGGTTTAAGTCCATAACTCAGAATCATGGAATCATAGAATGGTTTGGGTTGGAAGGGACCTTAAAGTTCATCCCATTCCAACCTCCTGCCATGGGCAGGGACGTCTTCCACTAGACCAGGTTTCCCCAAGCCCTGCCCAACCTGGCCTTGGACACTGCCAGGGATGGGGCAGCCAAAACTTCTCTGGGCATACTTACTCATACATAGGTTAAAAACAGAAAAGAAAGAAGCCAACTCACTTTAATGTGTTTATAGGGTGGAGGTTTCCTTGAATTCCTTTCAATTTCCAAAGCCTCTTTGCTTTCTCTTTGTGCTTTCAGCTCCTGGAAGCGCTTTGCTGCTTCTTCAAGTGCTGTGCAGGGAGTTCAGAACAGAAAGCAATTAGCCCCAGCTGCTGCTTATCAAACATGTACATGTATCTATTTAGATTTATTTTTTTTTAATGCTAGGAATAGAACTGTATTAACAAAAAGACAAGCTAAAAATGAGTTATTGCCGTTTATCATGAATCTGTCAGCAGGTACTGTCAGCAGGTACTGAGATACTGAACAATGATCCCATGCAGCAGAGCCCAAGCTCCATCTTAACATTTCCCAGTTTGTGGAAGAACTGAACTGGCCCACAACAACACACAATGAGTAGGCACTTAAAGAAACACATTTTTATCTGCAGTCAAGGGATCGACACAATGCTTGGATTTCACGTGAACACAGAACACTAGTCACATAATATTCCCATGCAGGTTAAGTGGTGATGGAGACACAAACACGTGGAATTTTTGTCATAAACCACTATAAACTTTGTTTGATTTTACCTTTCTTGAAGGTCTTGTTAATACTAGTTTGCCCCTCAGCAAAGCTTTTATCTCCTTCAACATAAGGGAAAACTCTGCCCTGGTGTACCCAATAGTAGTCATGTGAACCAAAGAAAAATACTGGGAAGTCCCCGATATCATGTTTGAGGCCCTGTATGTTGAGAGGCACAGACCTGGGATTGCAGATCTCTGCTGGCCACCACCTGCAGAGAAGGAGAAAAAAGAACAATATAAGTTCCCTGAACCAGAGCTTTCCAGCTTTCCTAATGGGACTGAGAAATAAAAGCCAGTTTTCCTTTCATAATGAAATGACCTTCCTCATGCAGCCACGGCTCCCTTTGGCAACACCTGGGAAGCTCCACGCAAAAACACAAGTGAAGTTCTTCCTCCAAGTTTTGGAAAAGCTTTTTAAGACCATCCATGGCCTGCGAGTGGATTTCTGGGATGCCCTGCAAACACCTGCATTGCTGCAGGTGACTAAAGCAAACACCAGCAAGGACAGCTGGACTCCAAGCCAGCCCCTGTTCCGTGTGGTGACCACACTCTACAGAGCAAAGGTAAGTGCAATCCCATGTCCACCCCTGCCTGGGAACAGCAGGAGAATTGCACTTCAAGGGTGACATCCATGTCTGACACACAGCAGATGGATTATTGCATTTCCAGTTCCTGCTCGCGACGACTGAGCTGCTTTATGCCCTGCAATTCCAGAATCCGTTAAACACCCACAGCACTAAAACCCCCAAATGGTGAACTTGCCTGTAATTCCCAAGCTTGACCCAAACGATCTGCTTGTACCGCAGCTTCTTCCCAGCTTTACAGTCATTGCAATTCCAGCATCCCTCAGGCATTTCTATGCTGAGACACTCGGGGTGGAAGGAAGCTGGGCAGGACTCACAGCACAACAGTTTGCCACCTTGAAACAAAGAAGCCCTGCTTGGTTTGTAGAAGTCAGGATTTGCTCCCCCGGTGCACAGCAATGGACATTCACTTTAAATCATCCGCTCTACATTCCCACTGCCCCACAGAAAAACGGCAAAAGAGAGGGATCAAGTCAAACCTAACAATGTTGGTTAAAAAAAGGACTGCAAAGGCAACTTGTGACTCTTAACTGCATCAAGCACCCAAAAAAGCAGCTGAGGATTTCAAGATGAGGAGAGTTGGCAGGAGGAGCACCATCCCTGAGGGCAGCACTGCAGCTGAGAGCAGCGCTGCCAGCTTTTATTTCTTTGGGGATGGCCAAAACAACAAAAAACCCCCGCGTTTTTAAGGAATCCTTTTTCAATCAACATTGTTCTGACCGAGTCCCCAGCAATCATTAGTGAGCACCAAACCCACAGCCTATAGGTTGGTCAATGCTTTTCTGCAGCAGGGACAGGAAAAAGAATTGTAATATTGTGTCTATTCCACAAAAAGGGGTTTACCAGGATAAGCCCAGTACGTAAAGCAGAACGAGACACACGCGAGTTGTCCCCATCCCAAAAGTTCCTGGTGCTCAGAGGGAACCTCAGTGTGGGGAGTGACGTGAATTTCTGAGGTTTACACTTATTTGGGCAAAAGTTGTTTTGCCTGTCTCACATTTTGGCAGCTGTATTAGGTGTGGAGAGCCACAGCACATCTCTAAGCCCTCAGCAAAGCAGCTCATACAATATGACTTGATACATTACATATAATATTTTATATATGTTTATATATATATATACACATATACACATTTACACATTTTTGCAGATATATATTTCAAAATTAACAAGTTTTTGTTCCCCAGATGGAAAATCTGGTAGAGACTCGAGGGTATTCAAAGCAATTTTCACAATACCAAGAGAGGTGTGAATAGTCCCTTTCAAACCTTTATCAGAAAATCTTGTCCACCTATAGACTTCCCAAAATATTGTTGCATTAATTGATCGTTGCATGTCACAATGAGCATTCCTTAAACAATCCAGTTGCATGACCAACACTGTATTTCCTCTGCTAAAACCAGTAAAATCCAGCCATATGGAGTCTCCAGAGCTCCCCAAACCCACAATGAAAAATTTAAAGTATTTTTTTGCAAATATAAGTTCAGAGGAAATACAGACAAATTACTGAAACATTATCTGAGATGGGAAAATGCCAAGAGATGCAAAAATCAAACAAAATCAAACACAAAACTGTCAGTGCTGAGCAAGAAAAAACCCAACATTGCTCTCGGGATGCATTAGGCAGATATGGCTCAAGCTAAGCACAGGGCTCAAAATAATTCTTGTTCTCAGGAATTACAGGACTACTGGAAGCCATCGCTCTAGAAATGCTCAAAACAACCTGCCTTGGGCTGGGAAATGGGGCACTGGCTGGGAACGCCCTCAGGGAACCAAATTTCTGTGGGGAATTTGGGTGCTGGAGGTGGGACACAAGGCCCAGGGACTAGAGGGGACACACACAGGTCAAACCTGACTGCCTTCTCCCTCTGGATGGACACAGCACCCTCCCTCGTCCCACCCCAAATGTCCTCTCTTCTCTCAGGCTCTGCACAAGACCCGAAACAGCACATTCTTCCCCTTCTTCCACATGTCAAATCAATTTAAGAAGTGGCTTTAAGTCATCCAGGTAAACACTGAACTGCAATAGTATCGAGATCCATTTGCCTCCTCTTCACATTGCTGTGCAAAAGCAAACACCAGCTCCCTGAAGCTGGAACAGCCCAGGCCACAAACAGAGTGACTGAACCTCTTCCAGCAAGAATTTAGTGACAGCAATTATTTTAAGCCCTTTTGTAATTAAAAAAAAAAAAAAAAAGGAAAAAAAAAAAAAAAAAAAAGAAAAAAAAATTGCCAACATGAACACAGGCTCACAATAACCATGAGTGAAGGTCACTGAAAGCAGTCAGTGTGGGGACAAGCAGACATTTCTCCGTTGATTTAGAGAGAAAAAAAATAGAAAAAGCAAAAGTAAATTAAAGAGAAAGAAACTATTTTGGTTACCTTTCTCACATTTCTTTTTGGAAGCTGACGAAGGAGGAGGAATCATAGGTAATTTCATCAACTCAGCACGATTTGACTCATTCAGTAGGTAGTGGGACTTATAGGCATAGGAACTGAACAGGGGGTCTGAATGGTCCTGCACTACCAGCCCTATACGAAACAAACAGAAAGAGATGAGTTGCAATGAAACTACCCATGATTCCATGAAGGAAAAATCAAATAAACCCAATGACCACTTCTAATGCGTATGTGGGAACGAAAAAAGGATAAAATGAAGAAAAAGGAAAGTCTGACAGAAAGCTTCTTTGCTAACAAAGAGGCTGTGTTGGAGAGACTCAACTGGAAAGTCTTGTGCTGAAAAAGCTTTTTCTAAGTGGAATTTCAGTTGTGCTTTTACCCCTCAATTGTGTATCTACAGGAAAGCACAAGAAAGGCACCAGTTTGGATCTGTGGGCTCCCCTCTCCCTCCCACCTGGCAAAAGGAAGCCACAGGCCTGTGCATTTCTCTGGCCTTCTCCACCAAGAAGAGTTTCTCCTGTTGCTCCAAAGAGCCCAGGGGAGAGCACAGAGCTACGGAGCAGAAGGGTTTGGCCAGAAGCTCATAGGAAGAGCAGAGCAACTGAGCCCCAAAAGAAGCAGGAAAGATGAGAGACCAAGAGAGCCCCTGGTTCTTTCCCTGGGGGACACACAGCTGAGGGCTGTAAAGAAGCTCTTGGAACAGGGTGGCTAAAACAGTGCTGTAAGGAGAACGGTGTCAGCCCACCTGGACACACAACCTCAAGAGGATTCCTAGAACAAGGGTGACCTACACATGCAATCATGAACTGCGATGTGCTTAATGGAGGGCATTGCAGAAAGGTGGATAAGAAGTCTTAAAATAGCTCGTATTTCAAGTATTTCAACCATAAGCAAGTTTCCATATTTTATGGATTGCCTCACATCTACATTGCTCACTTCAGTAACTGCACCTAAATACAAACTCCCTTGCTCTGACAGCAACTAACATTAATTAAATCACCACTCTCACACAGAGATGCCCAAGGATTTCTAAAGCATTCAGTTCCCCATTTCTTTCTGAGGAGGTGCTCAGTGCTCCTGCCCCAGCTGCTGTTCTCAGCACTCTGGCTCCTGATTCCCGCTCAGCCTAAACAAACCCCACAAGAATGTTCTGGAAGAACAAGTAGAGAGTTGCTGTAGGACACAGAGGATTCAGGCAGCAGTAGTGGTTTGTAACTGTTCAAGTTCTGGTAACTAAGGCTCAGGGAATGCACAAGACAACAAAGTTGAAGGATGGGTACTCATTTTTCTCAGAATTCCATCTGATGTGGAATGCCCCACTGAGTCCCTGATGTGATTCACATCACACATATCCTGCCTAGGGGTGGCCCCAAAATGTTTAAGTAAGCCCATAAAAGGAGAAACACTGAAGCATCTTGCGAACATCCTTTTACACATTCCAAACCTCACTGTTTCACTTTGAGCTTCTGGATTTTCAAAATATTTTATTTTAAATGCGATCCTTCATGATGGCTCCCAAGTTACTTGGAAATAAGAAAAGGAAAAGAAAGGAGGTAGAAAGGAAATTATTCTGGCACCAGCTATCCCTTACCATTCAGAGATCTATAACTGCTATTCTGCCCTTGCAAAGTCAGGGCAAACTAAACCTCCACCTGAATGAACACAAGTGAAAACAAATGACTTCAGGATCCAGCTCACTTTCACCTCCTTATTAGTGACTCTCAAAGCTGCTGAAGAGAACCTCCAATATAAACTGCTGTGATTCTGTAGAAGGTACATATTAGCATTATTTCAACACCTAAGGATACCAGTGCTTTCAAATTTTGAGACTGAAGCAACTGATGCACCAACACTTTTTAAGCTGTTCTCTGGCAGAACCCTGGTGACTGAAGAGCCATAAAAGTAACAAGTGGGGGAAAAAAAAAGGAAAAAAGTAAAAGAGAAAAAAAAAAGAGAACTTTGGCATACAGGAAAGCCCAGCACGAAACCTGCTCATACAGTACTGCTAAAGGTTTTCTTTCAAAGTTCTCAAATGTGATGGCAGCTTTAAATTAAAATGAATTTTTCTAGTTCATGAGTAAATCCTACCTTTTAGCCTTAGAAATTTAAACAGTTTTAAGTTTGTGAGTAGTGAAAGAATCCCCTTCTGCTTAATACAGTGATTAATAACCCAGTAGCCATTCTCAGTGCGCAATGGCTGGAACTGAGGAATTGGGATTCACTTTTCCCTACAGGCAAAACAAGTCAGCCCAAGTGCCTATCACTGCTTCTGACTTTCAAATGTTATGGACAGCAAGTGGAATCTCATGAGAACTGTTGACCAAAATAAAATGAAATTAAATAAAATAAAAAAATCCCAGCAGCATTTATCGCCAGTGAGCCCTAAGGGAGGAGTTCCTCATGAAACACTTAAATTTTTATCACTAAACTGCACAAGTGACAGCGGAACCACAGAAGAGGGAAAAAACCAAGCGTCTCACCTCTTGCACAAACGAAACAAAAGCCTACATTTACAGCTGATGAGGAGTGAGTCCTTTTGGAATGGTTACTACAGATGAGGATGTGGGATGACACAAAGAGGCTGCCGGCGGCGATGCAGCCGTCTCCCGAGTGATAGGCCACGGGGCACCGCAGACACCTCGCCATGCGACCTGCGCGACAGAAACACGAGAGGCACCGCGTCAGCCGGGCTGAGCCGCTGCAGACACCCAGCACCAGCGAGCCCACCCAGCACAGGGGCACCACGGGGCAGGATTAACAGTTATACCTTTTTTTTTTTAATAAGTTTCACTAGTGTTAACCCTCAACTTGCACTTTAAAACCGTTAAGAAAAATTTTCATCATTCTAGAGTCCATTTTTTTTTTTTTTTGGTTTAAATATCTTGGCTCATTCCTAAAAGGATCTTTTCCTCGATAAATAATTGTTCTAAACGCCACTACAAACAGTCTTTAAAAACCAACATTCCCTGGCCCTCACACTACAAAGCCTTGGCTTCCATTAAACCCAGCACCACCAGCTGACAAGAGTGTGGATCCAGGGACACTCCACAGCAGTCTCAGGCTGCCAGCTGCTTCCCACCCAGAGAGATCTCAGTTAATGACCCCGCTGAGGAGGAAACTCTCGTTCCTTGCTGTGTTAAGAGGGTGGAATTGGAGCGACTGTTACTGTGGAGACACAGCTGAGCCTCCTCCCCGCTCGGAGCAGCTGCCCTCACCTTTGCTGGCCTTGTGCATGTCCTTGTCCATGGAGCAGGCAGTGCAGCAGTGCTGTGGGCACCGGAACCCCCGGGACTCAAACAGGGCCGTGGCAAACTTGCGGACACAGGACTCGTGGTAGAACTTCCCGCAGGTGCTGACGGAGCAGCGCTTCACATCCTTGCCAGGCAGCTTGCAGGAAAAGCACGTGTGTTCTCCTTGGAAAAGATGGAATAATGGAGAACAACTATAATGGCCAACTCTTTGTGGTACTGCATTGTTAAAAAACTTCTGAAGCCAATAGAGTTACACTGGAGTGAGCAATGCAGGCTCCTTCTCTCCCAGAACGGGCACACTGTGATCCACAGTAACTGTGGACTTGCTGCTCACACTAAACTCTCTTATTCCAAGTAAAACCCTAAGCAGTTTATTACTTTTTTCTTACGAGGTACTTGCTAAGCAGAAAATGAGAACCTGTCCTCAGAGGTTAAAAAAGTACTGGAATAACCCAAACTTACTCCCAAAACCCTTGGAACACACGGTCCTGCTCTGACCAGAATGCAGCTCCCGAGCAAAGACGGAAATCCCTCCCAGTTTTCCAGGCACTGGAACACACTCACCGTTCTTACACTCGGCACAGATGAACTTCTCCTCAGGCACAGCCTTCAGGCCGAGGCACTCCAGGTGGAACACGCTGCAGCACTCGCCCTCGCAGGCCAGCAGCGACTCGCCATAGCTCTCGCAGATCTGGAACAGGCAGAGAGCTCAGCAGGGAACGGGGTACCTGACACCCTGAAACGCCAGTGGCTGCCAGGTGCCAGCACAGGAACGGGCTGGAAATCGCTCCAGAGCTACGGTAAGTCTCTGGGCTGAGGACAATCCCAGCGCTCCTGAGGGCAATCCCAGCACTCCCTGCATCTTGCCCTGGGAACAGCGCGAGCCCGGACAGAGACAGGAGAGGCATTACAGGATCCACCCACACTCCTTCATTTTCAGGGAACAAGCTGCTCTTGCTCTTCACGTCCTTTACTACTGACCAGAAGATTCCAGGATTTTCTCTTGGAAAATCCTCGCTCTGCCCTATCCTGAATGACCACATGAAATCTTCAAATGGAACAGAAAACGGCATCTACTTTTTCTACAGATGCTGGCAGGTCTGGATTAGACACCACTTTGCAGCTTCTGAGCTTCCTGGCACGCAGGAAGGCTTAGGAATAATTTAATGACCATTTCATAGGAATGCTTTTCAGAGCATAAATCCTAAAATCCTGGATATTCTATCTGAGAGACATCGTTATGAGACATGGTTAAAACGAAGCAGTGTAATGTGAAAACAGAAAAGGGGGATGCATATTTAGTATCCATCACTTCCCAGTACCACCAGTTACCTGACAAACAGTGTCTTTTTTACTTGTCCCAGTTCCTCTCCTGGATAAGCTGGAGTCCACTGACTGCACATCCGAGGCATCAGCGTCGGCAGCAGCTGACGGGCTGTCCGAGCGCTTCCCAAAACTGCCCTACAAAGAGGGAAAGCCCACGGCACTCAAACCAGACACTTCCAAAGGACAACCACACTGGGAAAAGTATTTCTGTCACTGTGGCTAAGAGGACCATTTGATATGTCAGGGGTCCCGGAAAGGTGCTGAACTTCACCGGAGTGATTCAAATGCTGCCTCCTGATACATTTCACCTGTACAAGCACAACAACGTAAAGAGCTCTCTTACTTTTCCAGACCCCCCTAGGGTTTATACCAGACACAGCAGATTCTCACAATTCCCAAAGAATCTCCAACCTTCCACAGAGCAAACCATGATCTAAAACAAAGCTTTGCCAGGCAAAGTAGTAGGAAAAGTGGCAAATAAAGGTTGTATTTTTGTATCAGCCCAACGGAGGGGATTAGAAGGAAACAGACCTGGCTTTATGCTTTCAGATAATAAAAGACACAAAATCTGTAGAGACGTATTCACATATTCAGGATTAATTAACTGAAGAGCCTGTTATACACTGACAGTTTAATCAGGACCCTGTGAGAACAAACACATCTTTACCTGCAAATCATTGAGTCCCCTGGAATCGGAGTCAGACGTGTCCCTGTAGGCAGAGCTGGTCAGTTCCATGTCTGTGGACGCACGACTTCTCTTCTTTAAGGGCTTACAGGAGTCCGAAATCTCGCTGGCACCTTAACACAACACACTGAAATTAGTTTTAATATACGTTCTCAACTTTTTGCTTAAAATTAACAAAGGAAAAAGAAAGATGAGAGCCTGGAATGCATTATTTGCCTTCATTTTCAGTTTGCAATTTTGTTACTAATTTAATTCTCCCTGAAAAGTTCATTAACTGAAAACCACCTTAGGCAGAGCTTTTGACAAACTTCTGAACATGATGACACGGTGGAGGAAGCTGCTAAATTGTCTCTAAAAGAGGATAAATCCTCAGGACATTTCCTCTTCATCATCCATCTTCAACTTTGGCTAAGCAAATACTTCTAAGAAATGTCCAGAAGCAGGATTTGGGTGCTTACAGCACATGAACAGGCACCATCCTTCCCCCAGCAATGCACAAGTACCAGCAACAGCACCCCAAACGCACCCCCTCACCAGAGAAGCCGAGCTCAGCACCCCAATGCTCAGCCCCACAGAGCATCAACAGTGCAGCTTACACAGAACATAGCCTCTGCCCAAGGGTGATGAGCCACAAACTTCATTTTTGCCTGCGACTCACCTTTCTGCAATCCCGTCTTCATCGCTGCCAGCGGGACCGTTTCAACCTGTTTGAATAGGAAAATCCACAGTTAAAACCAGAGGAACGTTTCTCCCTAGGAGCAAAAAGCAAACAGGTCAGTTCAAGGGGTTAGAACTGGGGTGGGAGCTGCCATCCCCTCCTCAGCCCGAGCCTCCACGTCCCGCTGGATTCCCTCCTGCCTAGGCTGGTGCCCGGAGCCACGGCAGCCACAGGTCACTAGCCAGGTCCTGTGGCTCTCTCCCTTTGGGCACGAAGGTGACAGGAACGCTGTATCCGTGTCCAGCAGGCAGGAGCGGGGCCTTTGGGCAGGCAGGCCTGGTGCTCTGTTAACCCCAGGGCTGTGTGAGCACAGGTTCCCCTGGCCGGGTGGCACTGGGCCGGTGGGACAGTGCAGGGCCGTTCCCACCAGCACTCCCTGGAGCTCCTGCAGCCCTTCCTCCCTGTCTAGAGCACTGCACGGGCCCGGCCGGGTGCAGGGCTCTACACAGCTGGAGCTCGAGGGCACAAACACCTCAACACACAACTGGACAAGTTTACAATCTCGCAAAAGCACCTCCAGTCCTCGACCCTACGGAGAAGGTTAGGAACTGTTCTGCCAACAAACATGGAAGACGTGGGAATTTGGTGACTGGATAATAATTATAGGAGAAAGCTGTTGCCTAAATCCTGGTTTTAAGGTTAAGAATTACAAGTTACTTCTTTGCAATGCGGTTACATATGCATGGAGAAACACATTTAGTAAATATTTAAGGATTATTCTATAATTTTTTTAAAAAATATTTTATTTTGTTGTACAATAAGGTAAAAACATACAATAGAAGGATTTGTATAGGATACATTTTGTAATACAAATATAAAATCTAAACAATCACTTTTATTTCTCCACTAGTCACTGTAACAGTAGCATCAACATTTTGTTTTTCCCATTAATTGTACTCGTTCCAGTTATAATTTTATACCAAGTTGTTGCAGACTAATTGGGGAATCAGTTGCAAGAAAACTTGAGTTTGGGTAACAAATATTGTTGCATAATTGTAAGAAGTTAGTAAAATTATTTTCTTTTAAATATAACTTAATACATTCAAGGTTTTGTGCATTACAGTGCCCCTGGGTTTCACTTTAGTCAGATACTTCTCCTGAGAAAAGCACTTTAATTAATGTCCACAGACTGAGTTAGCCAGGTCAGAGAAGCACACGAAGCTACCTGGGATCCACGAAGTTCATCTTGTTGGTTCTTATACCTTTGTTAAATTAAGAAACATTTACAAACATAAAATAACTCCTTTGAAAGGGGGAGGCTGCAACCCCTTGTGCCAAGAAGCTCCAGGGACCACGTCAGGTGTCTCACACCCAACGTTTAAACTGCTTTAAAGTTTCAGCAAGAAACTGTCTCGAGCTGGAGCACTCACTCCTTTGCTGCACACCAGTGCAGGAATGCTGCAGCATCCAAGGGAAAACAGCGGGGGGAAAAAAGCAGTTGGGTTCACTTTCAGTCTCTGAAGTGAAGGAAGTGCAAAACAAAGCGCGAGGGGCCAAGAATAAATTAAAGAGATAAAAACATTTTTCCCCTTCCCATATAAATCTTCATCCTGACTGTCCCTCTTTAAAAATTCTCACTGGGAGAAGCTAAACTATGAAACATTCATATAAAATTCTCAGCTTTCAGACAGAGAGCCCCTTGAAGAGGGAAAATCGACCGTGTAAGGAGAAGAACCAACAACTTTGACAAACTTATTAAAAAGTGTATTCAGGTTTTAATATTTCTGTCCATCCACTGCACTCTCCTACTCACTTCCACGCAATTTTTTTAACTTTTTTCTTTTTTTTTTTGTAAAGCAACAACATTTGTCTGTCTGATATCCAGGTTAAAGGAATGCCCTGTACATGTTAGAGCTATTTCAGGAAGAAAAAGTATATCCAGATCTGTTTTGCTGATGTCTGCCAACATGAAAGTCTGACTATTCATCTATAAAATCATTCTTAAAGTCCATTTTCAGAAGTGGTCAGATTAATCACTCTAACTTCATTTGAAAAACAAAACCTCAACACAAACCAGCAGCTAAATCAAGAGCCAAAGGAAGGAACCTGGTGGAAATTCCATCCAAGAGAAATCACTGAAACAAACCCATTTTGCTCAGAACAGAAATCTCAAAGGAAACATGGCAGGTTCGTTAGGAGTCATCCATCATTGCGTTCCCACTTCCATAGCCTGACTGATACTGAGAAGATGCCAGTAGCAGAGTCACAGCAATGGCATTGACAGGGGGATTTCATGGAGGATAGTCCAAACCGAAACCCGATGGGGAAAAATGGAGAAAAATAAAAAGGCACCAATATAAGCCACAACATTTATGAATACAATATATTTTAACTCTCTACATGGAGGAAGCCAACCTGCTCCTTTTTGATCTTCTTCTTTGGCACAACTTCGGTGGATTTCTCAGACTCTGAGCGGGTTCGAATCGATCTTCTCTGTTGCTTCTTTTCTACAGAACCTGAAGAAGGTAAAAAAGGTTTCCATTACATGATTCCTCGTATTTCTGAGGTACAGCAAGTGTGCAACACCATATCAACAGGTAAAGGAACGAAACCAAGACTTTGTCCTCTTTTGAATGTTTTATTTTTAAATTCAGTTCCAAGCTGTTGGTCAGCTGGTGCTGTGGGTGCAGACACACGTTCTGATTCCAGAGACAGATCAGCTTCAGAAAACAGACACCAGTAACAGAGCGGAACAGAAAGCTGGAATCCAGCTTAGGGCAAACAGATTTCCACAACACACCTCTCAGGCACAGTCTTCACTTGGTTAATTCTGAACCAAGCAGTCCATCTTTGGTGTTTTGGGAAGGTAGCCACAACCATCTCCTTGAATGAAAACAAACTAGAAATTTCAGAAGCAAAGCACAGCTTCAAGTTTTTCCCCATAATGCCAGTTCTGTGCCCCCTCTGTGGGGCAATGGCCTCTGTTCCACAGGAACTACAGCCAGCCCCCCACTGCAACACCTGCAGCCACACCAGACCTCAACGTTCACCTGATGGCTTCGAGGCAAAGAAAAACTCAGTACAAACAGAAGCAGTGACCACGATATGTTACTGTCATTAACGAATGTGGAAAACGAGGTTTTTAACATATTACCATAGAGACCAAAGATGAATGAAGGTTACTGTGGTATTTCAGCAGACGAAGCAGGAGCTGCTGGGTTTTTGGCAGCTAACTTTTTGTGCTCCAGCCCCTTCGAAAAGGACACATCAAGAACCACACACACGACACTCAACACCACGGGCAGCTGTTGGAACAAGCACACACTTGGAGCTGAGAGAAAACTGGCACCTGAGGATTTACAATGAGCTGCTTGGGAAACATCATCCTTGGTTTTATGTTTGGGGGGGTTTCTCCTAAAGAAGACACAGCTGTGAAATACTCTGTATTCTTCCAAGCAAAACTGGAAACTCTTGGGAGCAGGAATCAGCTGTGCCAGAGCTGTTAGGAGCTGTAAACCTGCCTGGTCTTGTCAGGAGATAAAGTATCTAGAGAGCTAGGCAGGCTTGAACCAGACTGAAAGACAGCCTTGCAAAAGGACTCCAGAGAAAAGAAAGAAAATTGCTTTTGATGCATGGGATGAGCATTTTTCTCATGGCTGCATGGCTCTGGAGTATGGCAGTAACTAAACTATCCAGTTGGAAAAGTTATTGTGTTACAATAATTGTATTTCTGAGGGGATAAATTGTTTTTCTTCAAGGGAAAAAACTTTCAAAGCACACAAATTAATAATAGCAATTAGGTATTAATAATTTAGAAATTAATGACTCAGGTCAACACCTTTCCCGTTTGCCCACATGTAACTTCTGGTTCCAATGAGCCCTATCCCTTCAGGGACTCCCACAGCTCCAGTGGGTCTCCACACCAGAGCTGGGAAACATCTTTTGGCACCTTCGTGTGCGGCCAAAATCCCCTGAAGCAGCTTCAGGTAAATCTGAGCAGGTGCAACCAAACAGTTCATTTAGCCAAGAACAGATTTTCTCCCTTTGCCACCTCACTGCAGCAAAGGAATTAAGATCGAGCCCTGGGCCCAAGAACTCCAGAACCAGCACGTCCAGTGTTGGCTGACACAGCACTGCTCAGTGCAGTGGGCACTGTCTCCTCTTCCCGCTCTCCAAGGATCCAGTCATCAGTTCCACAATGCTCCCGTTTTGATCCAGAGGTTCGGGACGGATGTTGGACCAGCCCTCTGCCTTGCTACAGGTAAATCTAGTTGGGTGTCTGTGCAGACCAGAGGCACTGGGGATGCTCAGGGCTGCTCTCCTGGCAGCAGATTTCAAGCAACAGAACTATCTTCCCGGCACTATGGAATTCTGTGTATCTGACTGGAGGTTATCACTAAGGACTCCCAGAGTCAGTCTGGGAAATACTTTACCATAAAGGGATTCTGCAGTTCCAGTGATCTGACATTTGAAAAAAGGACTTGGCAGTTATGTTCCACGAGAGGGGACCAATAACTGGACTTTGGAAATGGCTTTGAGAGTGACTGTTTGGAGTGTGCACTGCAGGAAGGCTCAGGCACTTACAGGGTGTTAGCAGGTGGAGTGTCATGTATCCAAGAATCCTAAGAAAATGAAAAAAAGAGAGGCTCAGAATTCTCACCCCCTGTGTCTGAGGAGCCTTTGGGAAGGTGAAGCCTTTAGATGCCAGGAGAGAGAAGCAGAACGGTGATGGCCTCTCCTGCTGCAAGGCAGTTAAAGTAGCCACAGAAACTGTAGCTGGAAAGAACCACCACTGTCAACAACAGCAAGGGAAACTCCAGTCACCCAGGAAATCTGGAGTACTCAGCCTGTGCAGCCCCAAACAGTCCACAAAGCAGTGCCTATCAATCAGCCCTGCCTAAAAACTACACACAGACAGGACCTGAAGCGTGTTTGCAGAGGACTCATGGACACAAACCACTGAGGTTTCTGACTCCAGATCTCATTTATTTCATGTTTGGAAAGGGAGGAATAACCAAACAGACGGATAGTTAAAGCAGAAGTGACACCTGGCAACATTATGAGATTCAAATAGCTCATTCCAGGCTTTCCCTTTTCAGGCCCAAGTTCCATTACTTGCTTCAGTGGTTCTTCTCCCTCGGAGCTGATACTTCAGAACTCAGTGCTTTACGATGGCGCCCCTGAGATGCCTTCAGAGGGCAAGCACTGCCTCATTTGGCTGATGGAGTTAGCTGAAGCAGTTTTAAAGAAATCCCTGTCCTTGAACAGGTCATGCAGGAACTCAACAACAAAGCCTAGGGAGCCCCATCCTGAATCAGCCATTCCCTACTGAACTGTGCCACTTCCCGAGTCTCTTCCTTTGATCCCAGCTCTTGTACTTGACATTTGGTGCCACAAGCCATGGCAATACCCTGCTAGCACACATCCACCATGTTGTCTTCTAAACCAACTTGCCATCTGCTCTGCACAGGACATCCATCCTCGAGTGTGTTGACTCAGACTGTAAGTTGCAGACACAAAGTTCAGAGGCCAAACCACCAATCCCACCCCACAGCCGTGCTGTGTGTGCTGGGCTCACCGCCTGTGACATTAGCCATGCCCGTTACAACTACTGCGTAAACAGAAAGACATTAATAATAATTTTTAAGTAAGGAGAAAATGCTGAATTTCAATGCTGAGGGCTCAGGTTCAGACCAGCACTCTGCAGTTTCCCTACCTGCTGACCCAGAAGTTGTCTCAGGAGAGGATGCATTTTGCACTGTTGCTTTTTCGCTTCTCTGAGCTGATGAAGAATTAAGTTTCTCTTGTCCTTTGACGCTTATTTCTGTTTTGTTACCAACTCCCTTGAAAAGAAAAAAGGAAAAGATTGTCTTCCCCTGTGTGTTGCTACCAGATAATAGATCTGCCCTTGAATCTCAGAACAGAAACAAATCAATGCTCTCCAACCCAACACATACATAGGATAAATCTACTACAGTCACCTCCCTGCAGAACTTTCCACCCCTCTCGATCTCCCATTACACACAAGGAAAAAAAAAATTCCAGTGACTTTTCTAAACATTACCTTCTCTACAGGGCTTAGGATGAAATAAACACTCTCCAGGTAGAGAGGCAGAAGAAGGAGGCAGAGAAATAGTCCTAAGCCTTTTCCTTACACTGACTGTGGGAAGCTGCTGTGCACCTGAAGGAAGCTCAGAGGCAGAACTCGATTTAAAAGTCTGTTACACAGAATGTAGTTATCACTTTTTAGTACATTATTAACAGTTTTGTCATCTTATCTGTTTCCCACAAAACCACTGATTTCAAGACTTACAGAGAATTTCTGGATTATTTCAACTAGGAAGCTGGAGTGACACAGCCTTAATAAATTTCTGTGTGTTATGGACAAAAATGTGACCATCTGTAGGGAGCTGCTCTGCCACCAGCAAAACAGTTACTGCCAGAGCTGCACTGAAAGTGGGGTTCAGTGCACTGAAAGGCTCAGCTGTCACATCTGTTAATCTCTCCATTGAAAGGAACATGGATGGTGAAAGCTTGGTGGACACAGTTCCAGCTCCCCAGTAAGGCAGGCTCAGGATAATTCAGGAACAAGAGAGGGTCACTGCACCAACCACGTACCTTGGTGGAATAAACAAACTGATCGATGAGTTTTCCATCCCCAGCAGCATTCTGAAGGGCAAAAACCTGTTCAATTTTAACAACCGGAGACATGTTACATTTCTGCAGGTCCAGGTTGTGCATGGTTATCGACGCTGGCAGGGATTTCCTAGCGGCGGCCGTTTTCCACGCGATTTTCACGGGAGGTGCCTCCTCCTCCTCCACACTGGACTGCCTCCTCTGGCCCTGCCTCCGCGCCTCAGCGTTGGAAGGGGACGATCCTGCCCCCGTGGTGGGGTGTTCCGGCTGCGTGCTCAGCGCTGGCTTCGGCCGCCGGTTCTTCTTGGCCTCTGCTTTGGGGGCAGCAGTCTTTTTGGCCTTGGCCAAAGCCTCCTCTGGCTCTTGGTCTATGTAAATGAAGGTGTACTGTTCTATCCTCTCCTCCCGGGTCATTTTCAGTGCCTTCTCAGCATGGGCAATGCCAATGTCCCACTGAGCTCGCTCCCTCTGCGGCCTGGGCTTGCGGATCTTAAGGGACAAAGACAAGCAGTTGATTACACTGAAGACTTCACCACTACAGCACTCAAAACACAATCCCAAGGGTCTTTACAACTGCCAGGCAGCAGACTGGAGTTTGCTCTCCATTTGCTGGGTATTTTTTGACAGATGGACACTGAATTCCCTGCTCAGAGTATAAGCAGACACTCAAGCTGGATCATAAGACCATCACAATTAAGTGTCTGCACTGAGTTACGGCTTCACTAAAGCCAACACAGGCAGTATTCAATCCATAATTCCATTATGAGACAGAATTTATCCTAACTTAGCCACTTTTTAAATCCTCCTTACTCTTCTATAAACACTCCTTTTTTCCCCACATCAGTATTTTGATCAGCATAAATACTGACTGTAGTAGTTCATCTACACAGTAAGTAATTCCTGTAGCTAACACTTCCTTTCCAATACAACAGTAGGAAAGGAACATATCTGCCAGTATTAGGGGCTGGAATAATGTCCTTAAAAACGTATTTTCCAAAGAACAGGCTAATAATGAACACACAAGGCCCTGTTTTTATTTAAAATGCTAATATGGATGTAAGATTATCTCCAATGCTCCACGAGGAGCCCACAAAGCAGGTTCAGCTCTCAGCCTTTTCACATGAAAGTCACAAGAGTATGGAAACATTTTCATGATCTTTGTGAGAAACACTCCTGGCAGTGACACGCAGCCAGCCCTTCTCAGGGTAAAGCACTGCAGAGTTCCAGACCTGCAGAAGACAGATGACTCCCCACAGCCAGTGCCCCCCATACCTTCTGCTTCTCAGAGTGGTTGCTGGCTTGCTTGGCAGCCTCTGCCAGTAACTGCTCGTACTGTTTGTGCCCCTGGTACTCCCGGACGCGCTTCTCGTGGACCCAGGCCCGCTCCGGCTGGTTGCTGAAGAACTGGACGTGGTATTCCCGGGCACCTGAAAGGGAAAACACCCATCAGCAGTTGTGTCAACACTGCTCTGCTTGTTCAGCTTGAGCTTTTCTCCCCCCCACGGCTCCACTCCTGCTGGCAGAAGTACCTGGCTGGAGTGCAGAAATACCACGGGTCTGCATCCAGAACAGTTTAAGGTGGAAGATCAGCAAGCCCTGCCCTCACTGAACACTCTCACACCTTGAGACAAGCAGAAGCACCCGTGCACAAGCCCAGTGTGCAGAGGCTGCTCTGCAAAGGTGATTTACCAGGTGTTTGTTCTGGGCATGTCAGGACTGTCCTGTTCAGCACACACAGAACTAACCCAGCAAAGCAAAGATACTTTTAACAAAGGAACAGCTACATAAACAGGACACGCTGTAGCAAAGACCTTCCTCCCTTACCTCTTGTATTAATTTTGGTATGCACGTCAAGCTGGGGATCACATGACACCATGCAAGGCCACCAGGGGTACGTCCCCACCTTGGACCAAACCAGATCGCCAACCTGGAACTTCACGTCATGGGGGGCTTGTGTGGGAAGGGACGGCAAGAGCTGCTGGACCTGCAGGGGAAACACCAGATTAATCCACAGGAGGGGACTCAGAGCACTCAGAGATGCACACACCATCTACTGGGACCTGCTGTTGTTCTCTCAGGCATCCCTGGGGTTCGATAATCCAACACAAGAGAAACATTCCTTAGACACATGACAGAAAGGAGCTGCATACAGCTAGGATCTACACAACAGTCACTGACAAACCAAGACACAAAAGAGCAGCCCTCACCCCTACCCCAAAAACGTTTCTGCTTCCCAAGTTGATTAAAAATGTTGCTTTTGAGATAAAATGAAGCAATAAACCCAGTACAAGAGATGCATTAATGCAGCAACAATTAGTAAGAGTTTCAAAGAAATGGCAACTGATTTATCACACAAATTAAGGGATCAGTGGAATAAATAGTCCAAAAATAGTAACGTTCTCTAAGTTCCAAAAGTGTTAATTGGTGTATGTACTAACCGGGGCTTCCTCCAGCACGGCTTCTTCTCTTGGTCTCTCTGAGAGCGTGCTAAGCCTCTCGTTTGGTCTCTAGGAAAGGGGTAACAACAGAGAGAAAAAAGGAAAACACAAACAAAGTGAGGGGACAGAGAAACAACACTAGATAATAGTGAAACCAGGCAGAAAAAAACAACTCGCTGAGAGAAAGGCATCCATGAACCCAGAAAACATGAACATGGCGATTCCTTGTGCCCAGTGCAAAACACAGTAACATCACAGTCCAAAAACACCTGTTTTCCCCTGCACTATTTACATAAAATCACACCTGCACAAAACAATGCTCTCCTGTAACAGGTGACAGAACACACACTCAGGGACAGCAAATCCAAATAATTCTCCACCTAAAATAATACACAGCTTCAAAAAAACCAGAGAACTACACGTGAGGGTATCCACAGTAATGTGGTGAGTCCCACATAAAACAACCGAAGTTGTACCAGAAGTTGCTCGTTCCTGTGAAGATGATCCCAAGTCACAAGTCTCACACCATTAATCCTAAAGGTGACAAAGGTTACACGAAGATGAAGTCATGCAGTGGAAAGCAAAATGGTGGGAGGACAGACCTGAGACTGCCCCAGCCAACTCATACCGAAAACCACCAGCACAAAACCCTGTTCCTGTCACAGCACTCTGTGTCTGAAACAGGGGTGGGTACCATGAAACATTTATTGCAACACCACCTTTGGAAAGGGAAATGGAGGCCACAAGGAGGACAAAAGCAAGACCAAGATTTCTGCTAAATTCTGGATGACACAATTGACTAGGAACTTAGAATTTGAGAGAAAAGGTTTTAGTTCAATCTGCGAAAGACAGAAGATTCCATTCTCGTGGTGAGCAGGTAACAGCAGCCAAACAGAGGGACAGGCACAGCTGAAGCATCAGGAGCAGAATGGGATTTCCTGGTAACAGGGGGGACAAACTGGTAAAGCCAAACTGACAGCCTGATGTGGGGTGACAGAGTCTGGAGGAGAGGCCAGAAAGCAAGTGCAGCCCAAGCATGAGGGAGATGCCACTTGGGAAGTGTCTCCTGGCAGCAGCTGCCAGCAGGACACAGCAGCTCCTACAGTCACCTCACAGGGGCTCCAACAGCATCTCCAAGAGCAAAAAAATCCTGTCCCAGTGCAGCCATGGATGGTTTGGATTTTAAGTGGACAGTCCATTTCAAGTTTGAATTACAATGTTTATTAAGACCTTACTGAGCTTCATTAGTCAACTGTGATACTCAAACGTGGCAGATGCTCAAAATCTCGACACATCACCAACCTGGTGTCTGAGGGAATCCAATTCCCAGGAGGGAGGTGGAACAGTTATAAACTTGTAAATACTCCTGGTGAGGGTGTGGATGTGAAACCAGCCCATCTTCCATTGAAAACACCACCACCACTATCACTCCATCAAGTACAGGACCCGCTCTACCAGATCAGAGCCCTGATCCCTGCAGGACAGGATCTCCTCCCAAACCTCCCGAAAGCAACAAGCACCAAGGGCTTTCACAGACCTTACAAGGAACTGAGCTCCATTCTGTAACAGCCCAGTCCAGCCCAGCCTGTGCTGGGCAATTTCTGTCCTGGCCAGATACAGCAACTTCCCCATTCCTGGCACTCGCCAGCCTCTCTGCCACCCATCCCTCAGACTGGGAGAGGCAGAAACCAGCACCACAGAGTGGGCAGGAACAAGCAAGAGAAAAGGAAAAGTACTGGAGCAGCTTATGAAACTGAAAGAGAAAGAATGAGAGAGCAGGGAGGTGAGTCCTGCCTTTGCTTCCTGGAATCTCAGTGAGCACACCAGATGTACATCCCCTGGATATGGACAAGGTAAAAAACCTGACAGAAACAGGAACAGACAGCAATACTGAATCTTCCCAAAGTTTGCTGAGTCAACTGGCACTTCTCATTCCCCTGTTTTTTTCAGAATGCTCATTTTTACTGGTTCTGCCTATGCCACACAGCTCTTGCTTTTGTATATCACAATATTTTTCAAAGGTTAATTAAATGTTACAGTGCTGAATGCCCCAAGTAACCTGACTTTCCACTGAATAATCCAGCACTATTTTGAGAGGCAATTTTAGGAATGTGTGTGCTTTTGTCCCACAGCTCCATCTTCAACACTGGCCAGAGCACAGCAAACTCTAAACATGCTAAAACATTAAATAATATTTAGAAAATAACATATAGCTTTCTCTAACAATTATTTTTCATATGCAGTCTTTTCACCAACACTGTGTTGTCCTACAGACACAGCTCCTGGCAGCCTCGTCCCAGGGATCTGACGAGTAAGGAGAGCCTCAGGACCCAGCGTGCACCCAGCCAGAACCAGGACAAACCCTGCCGGACTCCAGCAGCACTACCAGGAGCACAGACAGCTGAAATGAGCATCCCACTTACATTTTGCTCCTCTGGTTCTAATTTTGGAATTTTGTGCGACTTGCGCTCTTCCGAGCGGGAAGAGTCGTGCTTGCTACTTTTTTTCCTTTTCTCTTTCCTCCCCTCGTGCTTCGCCTTAGCGTACTCCCTGGCCTGCACTTCGTTCAACAGGTCCCCGCACAGGGAGGACTCAAACAATTCCCTGCCGTTCTGGATAGTTTTGGTTATTTTGAGTTTGATCTCTGGTGAGCCAGTCTTCTTTGGAATCCCCACTTGTGGAGCCGAGGGGGGGGGCGGCGGTGGCGGCTGGGGAGGGGAGGGTTTCTCCAGAACTTCGTGCGGCCTCGCGCTAGAGTTGTCCATTTGGTAATACTCCGGGGGGCTGAAGGTCCTGACCGCCCCAAAGCCGTTGGCCGAGCCGTTGGGGTACTGAGCGTACGCCTGGTATTTGGCCTGGGGCTCGTACATGCCGATGGCCGGGGGGTACCCGTTGGTGATGGGGGGCAGCTCCTCCGCCGTGGGGTACTGGAAGCTTTGCTGCAGCGCCGGCTCGTACGGCGTCCGGCCCCCATCCTCAGCAATGTCACTGCTGCCATCAAAGGCCTCCTCTTGGCGGATGTTGGCGGAGTCAATGAGTTGAGGTGGTTGCTGAATTGTGTTTCCCATGATCCCTTGCATGAAAGAGAAAGAGAAATCCATTGTTCTGCTCCAGCATCCTTAGCTTTCCCTTTTTCTCATAGGGCCTAGAGGTAGGGGAAGGGAAATAAGAAGTCAGTGTAAATTAAAAAACAATAATTAAGCAAATTAAACTGTTGAAGAAAAAAAGGGATCTTAAGACCAATTTCCCGCTCTCCATTCAGCAGCCACCCTCGCAGGGACTTAGAAGACTGGTGTTACTGAGCTTTTAAAAAGGGTAACTGACACATCTTTCACGTGACCACTTTCTTCCTTTCCAAGACATTTCTAATGACATATCAGAAGCCGCTATGAATGCTTAAAAACTGAGCCCAAGTGTTACAAAGCCAGAGTAATGGTGCCAAAATCCCACAGCCCCCTACAGCCCTCCCAGTTCTGCACTAGGAAGGGTTACTTCAACATGAAGCAACTGGACAGCACTTTCACCCTCCAGCACACAGGAGATACAGAGCTCTCCTGACAACACAGTCACTGCAAACTGCACGAGCCAGAAACACCACAGAAAGACCCTCAAACAACAGAGAAACCTCTTTGCTTCCTCCCTGCCCGCTTCCTTGACAAAATTCGAGGCATAAGCAGCCCTTAGGCCAGGAGGACCTGAGCCATGGGCTGCTCTGACAACGGCACAACAAAAGCGAGCTGCTGGAAAACCCATTCATGTCCCGATCTCCTCCCTCCCCTGAAAACCAGAGCAGAGTTTGCACTCAATGGCTCTCAGCAGCGATGTGAGGAGGGTTATTCTTGTCTCCCTTCCACCTTATTTTAATATAAAGCACTATGTGGTTCTGAGCCTCAGCACCAGCAGATCTCCAAACCCTGAGGTTACTCATGGAATGAGATTCCAGCTGAGCATTAGAATACACACCTTCAGCGTTTCAGTGCATATTAAAACACCAAAATCCGACTAAATCAAAGTTAGAATTCCAAAACTCAACTGCTGGCTCAGAGAAGGAGTTGGCATTCAGCTAAAGCAGCTCAATGTTCAACAAGAAGCAACACACAGTGACCTGACCTGCAGGTAAGAAACACCTGTTTGCTTCCCACAAGGTCAGTTCAGCCCTTCCAAAGCAAACACAGCCCCATGGTATTTGTTCTGCCTGTGTGGGCACACAGGAGGGTTACTGCGCCCTTTTGGTTTGGGTCTGAAACGACATTAATTCTCCCAGAGACACTTCTTCTAACAGCAATCTCCACAAATCCCTGCCCACGTGGAATTCTCACCCTTCCAAAGCTACGCATCTCAATACCTTAGCTAAGAGCTTTCCATACACAGGGAACTTCCCTCCTCAGAGACTGGAAAAAGTAACTGAAATTATAACAGGAATGAGAACTTGATCAGATTTGTGATGCATATTTTGGGGCCTGCACACTCAGATTAAATTGATGTTTACGTTCATCTTCACTGCCCTGGGACACCAACGTGGGGCTCACCTGTCACTTCATTTGTAATTAAGACGCTCACACCAAAGCACAATAACCAATAACAGCACAAAGCTCTGCAGAATTCCCTCACTGCAGGAACTTTTAAACCTCGGGGCTATGAAAGCACTCCTTCCTCCACACCTCTGTACAGCAGCCACCAAACCAACACAACTGTCACCGTCAGGGGATGTGGATCTTAGGGGCAGCACGTGGGAATGCACAGCAAGGTCAAAAACCCCAAACCACGCCCGTTCTGGGAAGAGGAAGTGGAACTGTTTGTACTATTTACCACCAAATTGTTACTTTGCATCTGCCAAACCAAAGAGCAAACAGCAGATTTCCCACCGGGCTTTATTTTTAACCAAACCCAGGTTCAATCTTGTTTCATTTCTGAAATCTGGTCCTGAGAAGCTGCGACAGCGCTCCAGGCTGTGTCACTCAGCCTTGGGGCCAGTCTGTGCTGCACAGCTGGGACACCCAGGCCCCAATTCATGCCTCAGTAACTCGGTGCAGGCTGAGAACCAGGCCCACAGCTCCACTGACCCGCTCCCAGCAGCCCCAAAGCACCCGAGGCCACTCTCCTCCCACAGCTCTGACATCACCCAGAGCTCCTTCCTGCCCAGACTCTCGCTGTCATCACTGTTAACACACCCAGACTTTCCCACCCTGCTGCCTGCCCAAAACTCCCCATCAGTGGATCAGTTCCCAGATGCTGCCCAGGGAAGTGGCATCTGGGCAGCGTTAGTGAGAGGACAGGCCCTGGAACCACCCAAATAACAGCACACAGGGAGCAGTCCTGAGCTCACAGCACTCTCACCATCCAAAGCTAAGGAGGGATTGCTTTGTATAATCCCTCCCAAGCGTTAATGCAGAGAACACCCCACTGTCACTGGAGAGCTGTCCCTGCAGCAGAGCAATGGCACCCAAACCACAGGGGAATGGGATTTCCAGCTGATCTTGCACAAAGGTATTCCAGAATAAATTCTTCTCACTATACCAACAGTTATTCCATTAACCCACAGCATCAGCCTCCTGTGAGCTGTACAATTTGGCTTCCAAACATGACCCCCAACAGATCCTGCACTGATAGAACACAGGGGCTCAACAGATAAAGCAACAATAAAGCAACAATTTCATCATTTCCAGGTTTATAGGAAATGGACACTTCACAGCAGCTGGAAACAACATGAAATCAACAACCAAACAACTTGAAACCAACACCTTCAAAGCTGCAATGGAATTTCTCAATGAGAGAAAGAGCTTCCTCTTTAAAACCTGTGTCCTTTTCCAGGGCTGACATGGACACAAGACTGTTTACAAACACTCGGACTCTACACAGGGACACTGCTTCAGTAAATATTTTCCTGCTGCCCACGTGAGAGTCACAACTCAAAGTATCAAAGGAAAAGGTAAATGAAATAAAACATATAAGCAGTACAGGATGAGGCAGGTCGGCCCAACAGAGCTCTTCCTTAGGTGAGCACTGCTGGTTTCAGTTCCCATTCTGAGCTTTTGAGCTCGACTGAGCAGAACTCGAGAAGTCAGTTCCACCTCCAACAGCGAGTGCTCAGTCACGGGAAGGTTTCACACAGGTTATGGATCCTCTGGGTCCACATTTTCAGCACCAACTGCACTCATCTAAAGCAAGTTTTAGCAAGAGAATTTTGCAACTCTGCTCTCAGAAAACAAACCTGTAGTTCTCAAACCTTGCTCTCGTGCTGCAGGAGACTAAATAACAACTGACCTCAGACTACTGAACAATTCCAGCCCCACATGATTGCAGCTTTTCTTCCTCCTAGAGAGGGAGTTCCATGGGTTTGGCTGAGGCTGTTTGTGGTCACAATAGGGAGAGACACAGCAGCTACTGATAAAAGTCCAGTACACACATATTTTAAACCTTTTTTCACTTTTTCCTGTTGACAATCCCAGTGTGGGGTTACCCAGTCAGAAGGAGGTGTTTTATAGATGGCAAGTGTGTGCTGTGAGGCAGGACCCGGCCTGTCAGCTCCCTGAGGAGCTGGGAGCTCTGCTGTGAGTCAGCCCTGTGTGCTCAGAGCACTGTCACTGCCTCGTCACCCTGAGCTGGGCTTTCTATCAACAGGCTCGAAAGCAGAAGTTCCGGGATGCCTTTATGTACAAACACCAACGCAGCTCCTGTCCACACAGACCTAAATCAGAGAGAGCCCAACCTCTGCTCACACCCTGCCAGCCCTCCTTACCCCCAAGATGGTCACTGCCATTTTCTGCGCTGTTTCCCTCCCAGCATATCCAGCCTGCACTGCTGCTGGTCCCCTCAAGCACCCAATCCATGCAGCAGCTGCTCTCAGTGGCTCCTCACTGCTGTAGGTGTTTGACAGACAGACAGACAGAGCTGCCCGGCTGGTCAAGCCAGGCTGGGCAGGTGTTTGAAGTGATGCAATCCCTCCTGCCCTCTGAAAACCTTAAGCCTGCAGTTCACACATAGGCCCTGCATCTCCCTTCTCCCCAGAGCTGAGCATTCCCACTGCTTCCAGTCACATCAAACAGCACCCAGAGGGATGCTGTTATCACCTGGAACAGCATCCCGGGGTGCTGGAATTGTGTAAACTGCAGACACAAATAAACAACTGTTCCTACTGATCCCCGGGCCCAGCCTGCACCATCTGCTTTGTCCCCCTCTGCTCTGCGTGTCCTCAGCAAACCCCACAGGCAAAGCTCTATTTACACACACTAAGACAACGCCAAGTTTTCACTCGCACAGGATTCCCCGACAGGGAACCTGCAGCCTGTGGATTCCTCCTGACTCCAGCTGGACTGAGCTGTCCCTCCTCCTGGCAGACAGTGGGGGTGAATCAGAGTCCTCATGACAAACCTTAAAGCACGAGGTGAGGCTGCTTCCCTGTGCACCTTTGTGAAGGTGGTTTGTGTTTGGTTTCTGAATGCCAGAAGAAACAGTCACGTCTGTAACTGGGTCCGATAAGGCCACTTTGAACAAGTTTCCCACGGTGCCAGGGAAAGAAACAACCTGGCCAGCAGAGAAAAGGGGGTTTGTCTGGAAAAGGAGCTTAGAGACTCGTCTGGCCTGAGAGCCGCGGGATTCAAACGGGAAACGTGGAGCAAAATCTTTGGTTCTTCAGGGAAAGTCACAGGCTGAGACTGCCATGAAATGACAGGCAGATCTCTGGCAACACCAAACACTGTAATGTCATGCCAGGCTGTCACACACCACAGCCAGGGCAAGAACCACAACGGGAATCACCTCAAACTCAGGCAAAGCTGCCCCACTGAAAAATGCAAAATAAATACGTTTGTATTAAAACAAAGCATACAGCCTTTGACTGTCATCCTCCGCTCTTACCCTGCATCTTCACAAGGCAGACACTCAGATTTTGGATCAAAATCTTTTCAAGTAGTTCATTAAAACATTTAATTTAAAAAAAAAAAATCTATCCACCAAAGCATTCACATGTTGCATCTCTACAAAAGGCCACTAAACAGTCATTAGAACAGGCTTCAATTTTTCCTTCAGCTATGATTACTGGCTACTTCATGATGTCCCTTGGGTTGGCTGGCGCATACACAACTACGTTATCATTAAGATTCTTTTTAACAACAAATTGCACTGAAACGAACGAGCGTTATTGACACCCAAACGGAAAGCGGAGCGAGACCACAACAAAGTGCAGCACAACGCAACGGCACCGAAAAAACACCCCCCCAGCCCAAAAACCCCACAACATTCGAGCAACAACAACAACAACAACAAACCCGCGAACGGTAAAACCCTTTTTCTGGCGGGGGGAAGGGAGGTCACCGCTGGGTGGAACGCCGAGTTTCTGCCCCGCAGGGCAGCGCGGGGCCGGCCCGGGGGAAAGGCGCGGGGGTCCCGGCCCTGCCCGGAGGGGCCGTGCCCGGCCCGGCGCCGCTCCCGCAGTAACATGGCGGCCGCGGCCCCTCCGCCCCGGGGCCGCCGCGGGCCCGCGCTCACCTTCAGTCACTTCCATTCTCACGGCCCCGCCGCGTCCGCCCGGCCCCGCGCAGACAAAAGGCGGCGGCGGGGGCGGCGCGGGGCCTCCTCCTCCTCCTCCCGCCGCACCAGCGAAGGCCGCGGCGGAGCCCCGGCCTCGATTTCCGCGCCCCCGCCGCTGGCGCCGGGCTCCGCCCCGGGGGGGAGGGAGGGAGGCAGGGAGGGAAGGCAGGCAGGCCGCCCGCCCCCAGCGCCCGGCGCGGCCGCGGGAGGCGCTGGCGGGGCCCGGCGGGTCGCGGCGAGGGCGGCGCTGGCGGCGGGGGGCCGAGAGCAGGACGCTCCGGTGCGGCCCCGCCGAGCGCCTCCGCCTCCGCCCGCCCCCCGCCGCCGCCGCCGCACCGCGCCGCCGCGCCGCGCACGCGCACCCCGCCGCACCCCATTGGCCGCCCCGGGCGGCGCCCGCCGCGGGGCACCACGGGAGGTGTAGTCCGAGGGGAACGGGGAGGGCTCCGCGCCCGGGGCTGGGCCCCTCGGGACGGGAAACGCAACCGGGGAGGGTGGGAATGGCAGCCTCCACAGGAACGGGCCTTCCCCTCATTCCCGTGGGGAAAACCCTCTTTTAGACACAAAACTCTGAAGAACGTGTTTAAAATCCAACAGGTGTCCAGCAGCTCCCGGCCACCTCCCCCTGGAGTCACCCCCGGCCCTCCCAGGCTGAGCCCCCCGCGCAGGGCTCGGTCACGGCCCGGCCGCCATCGCTCCCCGTGACGTCACGCGCGCCTCCTCGCCCCGAGATGGCGTCACGCACCGAATCCGTGACGTCACCGCCCGCCCGCGCGCCGCCTCCGCGCAGCCAATCAGCGCCTTCCGCTGAGGGCTGCTCCGGGTCAGACCCCGCCTCTGCCGCGCTCCCATTGGGCGGGCCTCGGGCAGGGCCGCGGCGCTGCCTTCTGATTGGCTAGCGCCGAGCGGGGGGGGCGTGGCGCGGCGCGATGGCGTGACCTGCGTGGGGAACCACAGAGAGTGGGGGGGGAGCACGACGGAGCAGAGCGGCGCGCGCGGGGCACGACGGGACGGGACCGGGGGGGGACCGGGAGGAGCGCGGTGAGGGAGGCCGGGACCGGGATCGGCACCGGGATCACCGGGATCACCGGGATCGGCACCGGGGACGGGCAGCGCCGCCCTCCCGGCTCCCGGCAGCGGGACGGGGATGGGTCCGGCCGGGCCCCGGCGACCCCCGCCGCACCCCGGGCTCTACCGGGGGTGAGGGTCCCACCGCCCCCGGTGCGTCCAGCGCAGCCATGGCCTGCGGCTGTCACACCCTCCTGGCCGTGGCCAGGGCCAGGTAAGCCCCGCAGCCCCTCGCGGGTGGGGGTCTGGGCCCTGCGCTGCGCTGGGGGTGAAGATGTGGGGGTGTTTTTTGTTGTTCGCAACTGGCACGTTTTATCCCCTAAAACAGGGGTAAAAGGGCTCCCGGGAGGCACTGGGGGGGTCCTGGGTTATTCTCCCCCAAGGGAAGGGTTGTTAGCACGGCACGAGGTCTCAGTGTTTCCCCCCTTGCTGAAGGATCAGAGTCTCGGCCGCAAAATCAGTTCCACAAATTAAGCTGGTGCTGAGAGCGCTGATTTGGGGGTGACAGCTTGGCCTCCCTGCGCTGTTCTCACTGAAACGCCTCTCCAGTTTCAGGGGCTCCCATCTCCTCGCACCCCCCAGCCCTTCCTTCTCCCCGGCCCTCGCCCTCGTCCAGCTGGTGGATTCCCAGTTATCCTGGACTTCCAGAGACTCCCAGGCGCCTCCCTGGGCGCTCCGTGCCCGCCTGGGCACCGCCCTGCCTCGCTCACCTGCCCACACCCTGCACACCTGCCCACGGCGGCAGCTCCGAGGGGACCCTCCTGCGGGCCAGGGAGCCAAACCCGCCCCAGCCCCGGCCAAGCAGCTCGCGGGGGCTGCCACGGGCAAGAAGCCTCTGCGCCAGAGGGTCGTGGAGGAGCTGAAGCACTACTACAACGGGTTCCACCTGCTCTGGATCGACACCAAGGTGGCTGCCAGGATGGTGTGGAGGCTGCTCCACGGGCAGGTGCTCACCAGGAGGGAGAGGCGGAGGGTGAGTGCCCCGGCACCCAGCTGAAGTGGTGCACTAAGAGGCTTAGCCGCTCCTTTGGACACGTTCTGTGTGTCTGGCTGGGTGATAATCTCGGGATAATCTCTGCTGTGCTCTTCTCTGGGCAGCTGCTGAGAACCTGTGCAGATCTCTTCCGGCTGGTTCCCTTCCTGGTGTTTGTCATTGTGCCCTTCATGGAATTCCTGTTGCCTGTGTTCTTGAAGCTCTTCCCTGAAATGCTGCCCTCGACGTTTGAGACGGAGTCAAAAAAGGTTTGTGTCCCGCCTGAGGCCGTGGGGTGTGTGCACAGCTCCTCAGAACACCTGTGCAGCTGCACAGAGCTGCTCTTCCCTGGAAGGGAGGATCAGCCTCACCCACATGTCCGGGTCACACATTCCCAGCTTATTCCTGAGCTGAACAGCGGGGCTGGGAGGTTGTGCTGTAGGGATCAGCAGGAATGTGCACAGCAATTCCATTTCCTACAGTAACCAAAGCCTGGTGCTTCCAGAACCAAAGTCTTATTTCATCTTTTTCCCAGAATCCCCTCCCGCCTGTCTTCCAAATGGAATTTCTAATTGTGCTTTATTTCCCGGGGTGAAGGAAGAAAAGCAGAGGAAGAAGCTGAATGCAAAGCTGGAGTTAGCGAAGTTCCTGCGGGAGACCATTGCAGAGATGGCCAGGAGGAACAAAGCAGCCACAGGACAAGGGAAACAGTTCTCCTCGTACCTGCACGAGGTAGGACAGGCCGTGCTGGGGGTGGCAGAGAACACAGGATTTGGACTGGGGCTGTGGAGAGGTTTGGCAGCACAGGGCTGTTACCTGGGGGCCTCCTGCAGGTACCAGCTGCTGTCAGAGCTGCACTCACAGGAATTCCCATCCTGGAACAGTGGAAGTTTCACCCTGTGAAACCTCTCCAGTGGCCACTGGAGAACAGTTTCACTTTGAGTTTTAACTGTATCACCCTGTTTCCATCAGAGGCAGGGATTCCAGTGTGAGAAGCGGGAAGAGGGCAGGGAAGGGAGAGGGTTCCCAAAGGGTGATCCTGCTGAGGTTTGGCTTTTGGCCCTCGGCTCAGATCCGTCACAGCGGCCACCGGCCCAGCACGCAGGAGATCGTCCGCTTCTCCAAGCTCTTCGAGGATGAGCTGACCCTGGAGCACCTGGAGAGGCCACAGCTGGTGGCTCTGTGCAAGCTGCTGGAGCTGCAGCCCATCGGCACCAACAACCTGCTCCGCTTCCAGCTGCTGCTCCGGCTCAGGACCATCAAGGCAGATGATGAGGTGGGCCTGGAACAGCACAGATGAGCTGCCTGGTGGAGTGTGTGCTCTCAGGCTCTGCCCTCTGAGCCACTGCTGCCCTCACACCAACCTCAGGGGGGAATTTTAATAGGAGTCAGATCCTCCCCGTGAGAGATCCCAGGAGAAAACAGAATGAGAGTTCTTCTCCTTGCACCCTTGCAGCCTTTGGGGAACCACTAGGAAAGGTGGCACTGCAGATACTGTCACTGTTTAAAAGCATTTCATTCTGGAGTTGTGCTAACTTGTAAAAAAAGGGGGTGTCCAATTCTGGGATGAATATTGTATGGGAGCAGCAGATTTTAAACAACTGAATTCAGTGGGAGTTTATGTTAATGTATAAAGTGTCTGGATTTATTTAGCCTGGAGAGGGCCAAGGGAGAATCCCCTTGTGGTTTTCAGCTGCATAATGGGGTTATTTAGAAAATGGAACCAGACTCAGAGGTGCAGAATTGAGGGATAACAGGTAATGGCCATAAGTTACAGCAAGGAGAACTCCCAACACGATAAGAAAAAAAATTAAAATCAGTAAGTAGGTAAACAGTAAAACAAGTCACCTGGAGGTTGTGAAATCCCTATCCCTAGAGAGGCTCAAGGCACAGATGGAAAATGCCGAGCAATTCTGAGCAGCAGCTTGGACTGGGGGTCCCCAGGAGCCCCTTCAGGTTGGTCAGGGGCTGGGCTGAGCCTGTGCCAGGGTAGGAAGGTTCCTGTCCTTGCAGATGATCGCCAAGGAAGGCGTCGGCGGGCTGAGCGTGCTGGAGCTGCAGAGCGCCTGCAGGGCCCGGGGGATGCGCTCCCTGGGCATCTCCGAGGAGCAGCTGAGGGAGCAGCTCGGGCAGGTGAGTGTGCCCTGGCCTGGGCTGGTGGGGAGTCAAATATGTTTTCAAGCTTCAAAAACAGCTAAGACTTTAGTACAGACACTGCTGGTCTTTGTAAGCATCCAGCCAGCTTGGAGACACTGCTGTGGGTGCTGCGTTTCAGGGAAGCTGTAGGTAATTCCACGTGCTTGGCTGTTTGCCAGTGGGGATGTTGGTACCTTCCTAGTGCTGGAGACTTCCTCTCTAGTGTCTGTTCTGTACACTATTCCTAACTCTTCAGAACCATTTCTTCTCATTGTGGTAACCTAACTCTATTAGCCAAAGTTGCTTTAAGGACAAAGAGTGCTGCATGAATAAGTACCCACATAGAGCCACATGAAATAACTTTTCCTTCTGTTTTCTTCTGACAGTGGCTGGATCTGCATTTAAAGGAGAACGTTCCCTCTTCTCTGCTCCTGCTTTCCCGTGCCTTGTACTTAGTAGACCTAAAACCACAATGTGCTTCCCAGAACAAGGTGAGCTGTTTGAATAAAACTTCCAGGTTAATAGTTCAACCATTACCCATTATAGAAATGAAGGACTGTGACAGGAATCTTGTTCTTTGATCCTACAAGTGGACTGAAGTTAGGTCTCTGTGTTCTTCCCCAGACAGGGGAAGCTGCTGGAGTGGTGAAATCCGTGCTGGAAGGTCAGGAGACCCTCCTGGATCCTGCCCCTGTTGTACAGGGAAGGAAGGTTAGAAAACAGCAGCCTGCAGGCTGGAAAATGTGTGTAGTGCTGCAGTCGTTGGGAGCTGAGTGTGAACAAACCTTTCCAAAGCCAGACAGAACCAGTGTTTGACACCAGGGCACAGAGCACAGTCTGTTTTTTTCCCCCCAAGAACCTCACAGTTGCATGTTCTGACTTAGGAGACGAGGGATCTGCTGTGACACAACCAGTCCCCTTGTTGGGAACAGCTGGTTACTGAGTGCCATGGTACTGGCTTCCAGCCAA